CCCCCCCCCCATGGTGTCCCGCCTCACCAAGGTTAAAATCTGGTCACCTTAAAGTAGTGCAGCTACAGGAGGGGTCTCTAGGTCCAAGGGTGGTTCTGGGGTTGGCAGTTCTGGGGTTGGTACAGGCAGCTGCGGGCTGTGCTGTGGTTTCCTTCAACTTTGTGTGCTTCCACTTGCTTCTCCAGCCCTAGCCTCCCTGCATCCCACCGCACCAACATCCGCGGGGGCGGAGAGGCAGAAGGTGAGGCAGGTCCTCCTGGGTAACCTGATGCTGCTGGAGCCAGCGTACCCCCCACCCTGTATCACTTCCAATCACCACGTTATGTTTTTCTTTGTTTTTTTTAGCTTTGTTTTTTGGTGGGGGGTAGACAGAGTCTCACTATTATCACTCTCTGTAGAGTTCGTGGCATCACAGCTCACAACAACCTCAAACTCTTGGGTTTAAGCGATTCTCTTGCCTCATTCTCCCAATTAGCTGGGACTACAGGCGCCCTCCACAACGCCCAGCTATTTTTTGCTGCAGCTGTCGCTGTTTAGCTGGCCTGGGCCAGGTTCCAACCTGCCAGCCTCGGCATATATGGCTGGCTCTGTAACCACTGTGCTATGGGCGCTGAACCATGTTATGTTTTTAATAATATATTTTTTAGATCCAGGTTTGTAATTTAACTAATTTAAACCCAACAAGCAATATTCCTCCAAAATCAGAAAGTGTCTAACAACCAAAAAAGGGCAAACATGCTTTAAAATCAGTAATGTACACAAAGCAGTTGTAGCAGGAGAGATTTATTTATTTATAAATCTTTGCCCTGGGCCTGGAGAAGAGCACTAATGGGCCAAAGACACAAAACGTGGGTCTAGAAGGTTCGAGACTGGCCACGCTTCCCCTTCAGTCCAACATTGGATTAAATGGGTCCGGAACTTTTCTGCCGAACCCCAGTGGATCTGCCCGGTAAAATAAACTTCCGGCGAGTTTATCACTTTCGTGCAGGGGCAGCCCATTCCAAGGGCGCTAAACCGGCCGGAAGTCCGTCAACTTACACTCCCCGCCCCATTCCGGATGTGACGCACAGGCGGGGTTGCCGGAAGAAGTGGCGAAGTTACTTTTGAGGGGACTGAAGTGGTGGCGGCGTGTCAGGGGCTACAGAGGAGGAGGAAGAGGAACAGAGTGAGGGGACGGAGCCAGGTGCACCAGAGAGCGGGAAGACGCGGGAGGAGCCCTGAACCCAGGACTTCTCGGCGTTCTCCGCGCTCTTCCACTCAGCCCCCTCTTCTTCTCCTATTCCTTCTCCTCCGTAGCTCGAGCCTTCCTTGGATGTTTCCAGGGCAACGGGACTAGGAGACCCCCGCGAGAGGCTGCCCACGAGACCCCCGCCCGCAGTCATGAGCCCCGCCCTCTACTGGTGCTCGGAGAGGGGCGGGACCTGGAGCGAGGTGTGGGGGCGGAGCATGATGGGAGGAGATGGGCGGAATCTGTTGAGATTATCTGGGCAAGGCTTGGAGAGAGGGGTGCAGAGGGGGCGAGGCTAGGTGTTGGTTGTGATGCTTTTGACTAGGACAGTGGGGGCAGGACCTGGAAGGGATAGGACAGAACCAAGGAGAGAAAGAGGGAAGGTGGGGTTAGAATGAGAAATAGGTGAGGTGGAATTTTAGAGTAAGTTGGGTGACACTGATCGCAGGGAGGATGTGAGGGCATAACATGATTGGAGAAGTGACTGTGCCTGGTGAGAGCTGGTGGGTGAGACTTGGGGGGGCGGGCCCTAGAGTAGGGGCGGGACTTAGACCTAGCCGAAGGCTGGCCTGGATCAGAAGGAGGCGTCCCTTGTTAGAAGGGTAAGAAGGGTAAGAAGGGTTTGTAGGACAGGGCTGGAGCTGGGATCTCTATACAATAGTGAAGAATCTGGAAAAGACAGAAAGCGGGGCACCCCTATCAGGATCTGTGACTGGCCTGATCAAACCCTTAGTAGCCCCATAGAGCTCACAATTCCCTGTATTCTGCAGGCTTTTCTGTGACCCCCACCATGGCCTCCCCCACCATGAGTTCTCTGGACACTCCCTTACCTGGTGAGTGATCCTCTTCCCTACCCAGCCCTTATCACACACTAGCAAGAGAAGCTCACTGTTCCCCTCTTGTTTGCCTCCCTCTCCCAGAAAATGGCCCCCCTCAGCCTGGCGTCCCCTCTTCTTCACCCACTATAAAGGAGGAGGGTCCTGAGCTGTGGCCTGGGGGCTCGGACCCTGATGTCCCAGGCACTGATGAGGCTGACTCAGCCTGCATCGTGGGTGAGACGGGGCCCAGGGACAGGAGTCTGGGAGTTCACATATGGGACTTGGGGAGGAATTTAGGAAGGGAGAAAGAAACGGGGATGGCAACATGGGAGGCTCCTGTTTCTTGTTGATTTTTTCCTTCGTTTCTTCTTGAGACTTCTGAACTTTGGTTCTTTTTTTGGAATCAACTGACATACACATATTTCTCTCTGAATTACTATCTCCCTGGGTATGAGCATTTCCTTCATCCTCTGCCTCGGGATCTCTCACAGGCCTGTCCCTCTGGTTGCTGTTTCTCGTTGTGGCTCTCTCTCACAGCTTCTGTGTACCTACCCCAGTCATCCTAGAGCCAGATGAGGAACCAGAGCGCAAGCGAAAGAGGGGCCCAGCTCCGAAGATGCTGGGTGATGAGCTTTGCCGCGTTTGTGGGGACAAGGCCTCTGGGTTCCACTACAATGTGCTCAGCTGCGAAGGTTGCAAGGGCTTCTTCCGGCGCAGTGTGGTCCGCGGTGCGGCTGGGCGCTATGCCTGCCGAGGCGGTGGAACCTGCCAGATGGACGCTTTCATGCGGCGCAAGTGCCAGCAGTGCCGCCTGCGCAAGTGCAAGGAGGCAGGGATGAGGGAGCAGTGTGAGTGCTTTGGGAGCAGGTGGTGCCAGCCTTGCCCCATCCAACCTTGAGCCTCTACTGAGGCCCATATCCCCACAACAGGCGTCCTGTCTGAAGAACAGATCCGAAAGAAGAAAATTTTGAAGCAGCAGCAGCAGTCCTTACAGTCACCTGTGGGGCCAGGGGGCAGCAGCAGCTCAGCCTCTGGACCTGGGACATGCCCTGGAGGATCTGACGCAAGTGGCCAGGGCTCTGGGGAAGGAGAAAGTGTCCAGCTAACAGCGGCTCAGGAGCTAATGATCCAGCAGTTGGTGGCAGCCCAGCTGCAGTGTAACAAACGCTCCTTCTCTGACCAGCCTAAAGTCACGGTACTGCCCCTTCCGTGGCCTTGTGGGGTGATGATCCCAGTGAAGTAGAGCTGGCCAGGCCATGGGTATGGGAGGGAATGAGGCTCAAGAGGGTAGGGTTTTTGGGAGAATGTCCCCCAGGGTACAGGCTTTGCTTCAAGGTGCTCCCTAAGAGTAATAGGCAGAGCCCTAGGAGTGACTCTGGTCTCCTGTGTCCCAGCCCTGGCCCCTGGGTGCAGACCCCCAGTCCCGAGATGCCCGCCAGCAGCGCTTTGCCCACTTCACGGAACTGGCCATCATCTCAGTCCAGGAGATTGTGGACTTCGCTAAACAGGTGCCTGGCTTCCTGCAGCTGGGCCGTGAGGACCAGATTGCGCTCCTGAAGGCGTCCACCATTGAGGTAATGGCTGGGCTGCCTGTCCACAGCAAGGCCTTTCCCTTCATCCCACTAAGGACCCCAAAGATAGTTCCAGGACAGATTCTAGGAACAGAGCAGTGAGCAGGATCAGTCTTCGCTGGGCGATGTCCAACTTAGTCTGAGCCTCCCATGAGCTAAGAGAGAAAGGGAAAAGGGGCTGAGGCTAAAAGTAATTGAAGATAGGGTTGGAGGGGCTTCCAGAGAAAAGGCTCCAAAAAGCCTTTTTTTTTTTTTTTTTTAAGAGGCAGAGTCGCACTTTATCACCCTTGGTAGAGTGCCGTAGCATCGCAGCTCACAGCAACCTCCAGCTCTTGGGCTCTTGTCTCAGCCTCCTGAGCAGCTGAAACTATAGGTGCCCGCCACAACGCCTGAATATTTTTGTTGTTGTTGTTGTAGTTTGGCCAGGGCTGGGTTTGAACCCACCACCCTCGGTATATGGGGCTGGCACCCTATCCACTGAGCCACAGGTGCTGCCCCAACAAAGCCTTTTAAGAGGAGTTGACATTTGAATCAAAGCTAACAACGTATTGAGCACTTAACTGTATGCTAGGCTCCATTCCAAGTGCTAGCATATGGCAGACAACAAAACAAACAAAACTCCCTGTCCCCTACCTCTTAACTACTTAGGAAAAGTGTTCTAAGTTGTGGGGGGGGGGGCAGTGCAAAACATGTACTGAAGCCAGGAAGAGAGATGAGCTTGGAGTGTCCCAACATGCTGACTGCATTGCACATTTATGTGGCTGAGAGAATAAAGCATAGGTAGAGATGATCTGGGTGAGATCAGACTCTCATTTGGGCCAGGTCGGGAGGGACTAGCAGCTAAAGGGTCATAGGAGTCCCCCCTCAAGCCCTTCTACCTGTCCTCTTCAGATCATGCTGCTGGAGACAGCCAGGCGCTACAACCATGAGACAGAGTGTATCACTTTCCTGAAGGACTTTACCTACAGTAAGGATGACTTCCACCGTGCAGGTAGGGCCAAAGGCAGCCTTGGGGGCTCAGGGGAAGGGTTGCTGCCCCAGCTGGCTGGGTCACCTCAGCTCAGGTCATCCCTGTCTGAGCCTGTTTCTTTATCTTCAAAGTGGGAGTGAGGGTGAGCTAACCTCAGAGCCAGATTAAGAGTACACTTACTCAGCACCAACTGTGTACAGAGTGATGTGATGGAGGTTAAGACAGAGGAGTCTCTGCTATCACATTAGGCATCTTGGTGGGGAATTAGGAAGAAGGAACCCCTTCCCCACCACCACCCAACCTGGCCTTACCAGAGGGAAAGAAGGAGGCTGGTTATCAGTCCATTGTCAGGTACACAGCCTGCCCTGCTGTATAGTGAAGTACTGGCTCCTGCCCTCCATGGGCACTTAACCTGGGTTACTGGAAGAAGTGCAGTTGAGGTAAGGCATATGGGGTAAGAGGCATCATCAGTGAAAAGGGAGTAGGGAGTAGCATTTTCCTTATCCTCTGGGCTTTTTCAGTAAGTCCTGTCCTCTCTCACTATCTCCCTGGAACACCTGTCTGTATGTCCTGACATCTACTCCTAATCTCATCTTCCCTTCCTCTAACCCTGGCCCTTCCATCACCCAAGATGGCCTTAGTAATCCTTTTCATAGAGGTTAGCAGGGGAGGACTGGACGAAAGAGTGTTTCTGGCAGGAGAATTGGCATATGGTTTTGCCATCTTAGCATAAGCCAGATGGTTTTGAGGAACTAAAATGAAGTCCAGTCAGCCAGAGCACAGGGGGGTGGGACTGTAGAGGAGGTCAGGAATTCTACCACTTCCCACTCATCCTCTGCAACTGCCCTGGCCCAGGCTTCAGTCATCTCTCCCTGGGATGTTGCAGAAGCCCCTTGTTGGCCTTCCTGCCTCTGGTTCTGCCTGGTGTGTCTGCTCAGACAGTAGTCAGAAGGATCCTGCCAGCACCCAGGTCAGCTAACAATCCTCTTGTGCTCAGAACCCTCCACGTCTCACTGGAGCAAGAGCCAAGGTCCTCTCTGGAGCTCACACACCCCTTCAGGATATGTTCTTATTCCCTGTCTGCTCTTAGCTCCTATCCCCTCTCCTTTATTCAGCCTTTCCCAGCCACTTGTCCTCCTGGCTTTTTATTTTATTATTTATTTATTTATTTGAGGCAGTCTCACTTTGTCGCCCTCAGTAGAGTGCTGTGGCCTCATAGCTCACAGCAACCTCATACTCTTGGGCTTAAGTGATTCTCTTGCCTCAGTTTTCCTGCCACAGTGCTTGGCTATTTTTGAGACAAGGTCTCGCTCTTTGTTAGGCTGGTCTTAGACTCCTGAGCTCACGCAATCCACTGGCCTTGGCCTCCCAAGTGCTGGGATTACAGGCATGAGCCACCAGGCCTGGCTTTATTTTATGTTTTGAGACAGTCTCACTTTGTCGCTCTCAGTAGAGTACCGTGGTGTATAGCTCCCAGCATCCTCAAATTCTTGGGCTCAAGTGATCATCTTGCCTCACCTCCCAAGTAGCTGGGACTACAGGCATCCACCACAAGGCCCTCTGTTTTTTAGAGACAGGGTCTTGCTCTTGCTCAGCCCATCTATCCACTTTAGCCTCCCAAAGTGCTAGAATTGGCCTCCTGGCTCTTATTGGAACCCACCAAGCATGCTTCAGCCAGGGGGCTTTTTTTGTTTTTTTTGTTTTTTTAGGGTTTTTTTTTGCAGTTTTTGGCCGGGGCTGGGTTTGAACCTACAACCTCTGATATATGGGACCACAGGCGCCACCCTAGCCAGGGGGCTTTTTTGCTTGCTGGTCCTTCTGTCTGGAACTAGGGTGATTGACTGGTCACAGTTTGCCTGGAACCTTCCCAGTTTTAACACTGAAAGTTTCTTGGCCCAGAAATCCTGTCCCAGGCAGAACAGTTGGTTGGTCACCCTACTTGGATCACTCACAGAGCCTCATAACTCAGTTTCTCACATCGTTTGGGTTGGTCGTTGTTCATATGTCACCCTACAGTGGGGCCTTCCCCACCCCCCTTGCGTAAAACGTGTAATGTGATTGTCAGCAGTCTAGAATACCCTTTCCTCTGTTACCTTTCTCCGTAGAACCCATCATGCTCTGATGGGCTGGGTGTTTTACTGATGTGTTTGTCTGTCATCTGGCATCTTGACCCTCAAGTATAAGTTCTGTAAGGGCAGGGACTATGTCCTGTGAAGGGCTCTGCCTCGGGCCTGGCACATACGAGGTATTCCATAAAGTTTGATGAATGAAAGAGGCAGTTTTGAGAATGAAATCTAGCTTTACCTTAAAAACAGTGGAAGCCACCACAGGACTGACAGGATATGATCTAGGCTTTATCAACTTTTCTCTGCCTTCATGAAGGGGACAAGGATTGATCCTGAGAAACTAGGGAGGAGCTGCAGCTATCATCCAGGCAGGAAGTGAGGGTGGTGATAGGATAGTAGAAAATGCTGAATAGATGTTCGCCCTCATTATTCATTCCATCACTTAGGCAAGGTTTGTGGCACACCTACTGCGTGCCGGGCACTCTCACAGGCACTAGGACCCAAAGGTGAGCAGAAATGATAAGAATGCTGTTGGGCAGCACCTGTGGCTCAAAGGAGTAGGGCGCCAGCCCCACCTGGCCCTGGCCAAAAACTGCAAAAAAAAAAAAAGAATGCTGTCATTACTGCTGTTTTCCTCACCCCATTTACTGTGGGTGGTGCCAGGGTGTAGGCAGGTTGCAGTCAAGGGAGTCATGGCCACCTCTGCCCTGCAGGCCTGCAGGTGGAATTCATCAACCCCATCTTCGAGTTCTCCAGAGCCATGCGGCGGCTGGGCCTGGATGATGCCGAGTATGCCCTCCTCATCGCCATCAACATCTTCTCAGCAGACCGGCCCAATGTGCAGGAGCCAAGCCGTGTGGAGGCCCTGCAGCAGCCCTACGTGGAGGCGCTGCTCTCCTACACACGTATTAAGAGGCCACAGGTACCAGGCTAGAGCTACCCAAAGCCTGGCTGCTCCTGCTGCAGGCTTCCAGCTCCTCTGAGCAGAGCAAACTCAGTCCTGAGGCTGGGGTAGGGGACAGGGTGTCCAGGCCCACATAGAGCAGTCTTAGACTGGGGTCCTGCCTTGTTACTATCCTTGGCAGAGTGTTGCAGGTCTCTGTCCTCTTGGAGGAGCCAGGCCTAATCTAGGCACTGGAGCAAGCCCCACATTCTGCCCCAGTGGTTCCCTGTGCTAGCTCTTCTTGTTCCCCTGGGGAGGGAGACCCTCCTTCGAGTTCATATAGGCTGGCCAGAGTTGTAGGATAGGGGCTCGGCCAGCACCCATCTCCTTCCTGTCCATCTGCAGGACCAGCTGCGCTTCCCACGCATGCTGATGAAGCTCGTGAGCCTGCGCACATTGAGTTCTGTCCACTCGGAGCAGGTCTTTGCCCTGCGGCTCCAGGACAAGAAGCTGCCACCTTTGTTGTCTGAGATCTGGGACGTTCATGAGTGAGGGGCGACCACTTTGCCCCACAGCCTTGTCTGACCACACTCTTAACAAATGACGCTGTCATCCCTTCTTCCTCCTGGGGTGGGAGGAGGTCCTAGGCTAGGCCTGCAGTCCCACCTTGCTGCTGGCCCTGCCAGCCCTCAGCGCTTGGATAAGCCCTAGTCAGGGTCCAGGAGGCACCCTCCCTGCCCACAGAGTCTTCCAGAAGGTGTGGAAGGGTCATAGGTCTTGACCTCTGGCCCTACCCAGCAGCCCTCCTTACCCAGCTTACAACTTAAGCCTGCCATGCAATGCACCTTGAACAGAGGGAGGAGAGGGCCTATGGCTCTCACAGCCCAAGAGGCCATTGGTCCTCCTCTTCCTCTGCTCCTTTTATTTAATAAAAACTAAAACTAAAGACAGAAACAGGAAAATAAAATATGAATACAAGCTAGCCTTGAGCCAGAGTGCCAGAAATGAAGAGGATGTGATCTTCATTGACCCTGGCCCCCTGAGCCTGATTTAGTAGGTGGGACAGGGGCCTTCACAAGCTGGTGGGGGTCCTGGTGCAGGGTGATGTGTGATGGCTGCTGTGGGGGTCCAGGACAGGGACCTAACAGCCTCAGGGTCACCTGAGGATAAATGGGATTTAGGTGAACTTTTGTCCAGTCAACAAGTGTCTTCTGAGGCTTGGGGCCAGGCTACACTGGAGACTCTGACATCGTCTAGCAACGGGACGTGGGGCATTACACTATGTCAGACACACTGATAGGCAATGGAAGCATCAGTGAACAAGATAAAGACCTTCCAGACACTGGGAGGATGGACGAGGACAGAACAGAAAGGAACAGGGGCTTTAATGGTAGCATGTGCACTGTGGGAACTAGAGGAAGTGAGGCAAGATGTCACAAAGGAGGTCTCTGTTGGGACCTAGAACATAAAAACCAAGGGGCTGGGCCTCCAAGTTGGGGAAGCTGATGGGCAAAGTCTGAAAGATGAGAGGTCCTGCTGAGTTCAAGGTAAGAGCAAACCAGGAAGCTCTTCCAGTGCCTCCTAACCCCAGGCCAGCCCCTTTATGGGGTATAGAAATGAGTTGGACGCACAGCTCTGGTCAAGGGCTAGTGGAGTATTTGTTGCACGGACGGATGGGCTGGGCACTGAAAGGTACACTTATTTAGGGTGGGGTATGGGACAGTGGAAATGAGGAATAGTTAGAAACGATCATTCTATTACAAGTAGTGTACTGACTGGGTTCTAGGTGTACCCTTTGAGCTCTGAGTCTAGTTTGCAGATGGAGAAACTGAGGCCAAAGACATGGGAACAGTCCATAGCACGATCAGGTGTTGGCCAGCCTCTGCAGGGAGGCTGGCCAAATGGTGGGCAGCGCCCAGGCAGTTCTCCGGGTACAGATCGTGGAGAGAGGAGGGCACGTGGCCCCACAGCTCCTACAGCTCTAGGTGCGGGGCAAAGGACTGCAGCTGGGCTTAGAAAACCAGTCTGGGAAAAGCAGCCGCGAGGGGAGCGTGGGTTGTGCTACGTCACGAGGAGGCGGGGTTAACGATAATATGTCCCGGGGGAGAGGTCCTTTCCCAACTGAGCGGCGGGGGCGTGGCCCTCCTCAGAGCGCGGCGGCACTGGGCTTGCGCGCGCCAGAGTCAGAGGTCACGGCGACGTAGGCTGTGGCGGGAAACGCTGTTTGAAGTGGGTGAGTAAAG